GGAGGAGGGGGGTAGGGCAGGAGAGACGGGGCACTTACCGATACACTCCTGCAGGGCAATCTGCCTCGATACGGTGGCTTGAACGAGGAAGGGAAGACCGCTGCCGCTGCCGCTTGAGGAGCAGTGAACTTGACCGCGCTGGAGGCAAAATGAAATGACACCCCACAGACGAGTTAGCATTGATCCAGCCAGGACGGAACCAAAATTAATTTATGTAAGGTAAAGAAGGAAAACGCGGCAAAGGTAGTTTAGCTAGTGGACCTTATATACCCCAAAGCCCCAGCATTCTGTCGTACGGGATCGTGGTAATAGGTGTTTTGTGGGTGGGGAAATAGGACAGGCAGTGAAGGAAATTAGTAGAAGTAAGTCTAAGTTGAATAAAGCAACAGATTAGAGCACATACACAGTCAGACGTAAATTTATGACAGGCGAGGAAACAGTGGGATTAATCGCTAAAATGCATATCGTAGTTATTAAAGTATAACCTAGCATCCCTAGTATTCCAGCATCAATCTGCACCGCGTCGTCAATGCCGCACCGATTAAAACCACAAAACGAATATGGTACACCTCTATACAATTACTTCTACAACTTTCCTTCCTTCCTTCACAAAAAAACCCTGTTACCACGTGGCCCGTATGAAACACTGCTGGGGCTAGGGGTATCTGAGGTCTACTACGTAAACTGCTTTTGCCGAAACCGCATTCGCTTCGATAATTAGAGTAAGAAGTTGGTCCAAAAATGGAAACGAAAATGTTCCTGGTTAACCACCAGCCCCAAAAGAGATTTGCTTGTCATCTAACATGGTTGATTCATAAAAATGAATGAGGGAATAAACTGCTGTTCATTCGAACGAAACTGCTGGACTATAAAGGTTTTTCAAAATTGGTGGAATGTATGAAGATAATTATAAGGGGGCGGAGTCATGGGTTATGGTTTTATAGCTCAGTAAAAAGAGTTTTTGCTTAAACCAGCGCAGATTTGCGAGAAGTTCTGAACCACAAAGTACGGTATGACAGTGGGGAGTGAAAAGATGACTGATCAGTCTATACTCGCAGCTATTTGTCCACGGGCAACTTAAACAACAGCCGCATCGTCGTCACTGAAACCACCTGTGAACTTCACAATTGCAAATTCACTTTCGTCTGCACACGTATTTCCTGTTTACTGACTGCACACAGACGCTCTTGAAAGGACCGAGGATACAGTGATATCTGTGCAGTTAATCAATAATCAACTAAGTGTTTTTCGTTCATACTACACTATGATTTAAAGAGATAATTTACTTATAATTTTGCATTATTCAAGAGTTCTCTCTGCAAAAACTACATTAGCAAGCAGTAAGATTTTATAGATGACACGTTCTATTGACAGATAACAATTTAAGGGTCAAAATCTTCTTATTTTTGAATGGTTAAAGACCAGTAGAAACACGAAATTGTGACGGCGTACGGTAAAAAACTAAAAGAAATTACTAACTGTATGAAGAACGACCTCCTAGCGCAGAGGTCAGGAACCTTTTTGATTCGTAGATTTAAGATGAAAAATATTTGGAAATATATATTTCAGTGAGAGTCATATAATGTATTTTAAGACTGAATTCAACTAAATGTGCGTATAATAAACCTCTGGATTTCGTCATTGGAGGAAACAAAATCACAAACTTTGAAAGTTCTAATTCCAATTATATCTGAGAGAGCCAGATGCAATCACCAAAGGAGCCACACCTAGCTGGCGAGCCAGACGTTCCCGACCCCTGTTCCATAGGACAGTTCAACCGTCGATTCGACCATGTCCACCATGTACTCCACAGCAGCGTGGTACAGGAACGGGGACTT